GTTATTCTCTCTATTCCCCTTTTTACTTGTCACATGGACAACAATTCATAATATTGTTGCATTTGAGACTCTAGTGTCCTAATGTGTGTGTTGACCTCAAAAACATTTTTTTTTAAATGCCAGCAGTGAAGTTTTTATTTTTGGAATTTTGGATGGATTTTGCCTCCTGAAGGCTTTGAGTGTGTTTTAAGTGAGCTTTTTGTTTGAAGAAAGAAAAAGAAGTCTTCGGTGAATTTTAGATTGGAAATGATACTTTAATTGGAGAATGCTGAGATTTTCAAGAGCGACAATTGTAATTTTACATTGATTCGAGGTGAATTTTCTAGAGTAGAAGATTGGATCTCTAAGATTTTTCTTTCTTTAGCATCTTAACCCTTTTATTTTCTACCCTTTTAGGGGATTTTTTTATCATTTTTGTGAGAGAAATACTCATCATTATTATGCAAGTCATGATTAAGTCCAAGTTTCAATGCCTTGATTGAGTTTTGTGTTTTCGTGATACTTGCCATACAACTTGCTATATACACCCATGTGTTTACAATTTCATGTATGATCACACTAATTCAATTGTGTTAGAACCCTACTAAAAATGACATCAATGTTTGAGATCGAGCCGAGGCATTTGTTCCCACCGATTTGGACGAGGATTCCAATTGTTCATTATCCAAGTGTTATTGCTAGATATATGGTACTTCGGTGGCTGAGACATTTTATGCCGAGGGGGCCTCGACAGCCCTAATCCAAATGTTAGTGGACACGATGTCATGTAATGGGGTCCTTTTAGGACTAACATATAGTCCTTATATGCAAGCAATTGATCCCTTTGTAATTGACACGGAATCTAGATGATCAATAATTATTTTAGCATGTAACAATGCAAGCAACACATAAGCGAACGAAGAAGTGATATGTGGACGAGTGGACATGTTAACCGTGCAAATGTAGAGAGAAATATTTTTTTATATCTATTTAGTTAGATAATACAAGTAGAAAAAAATCAAGAGAAAGGCTTGGGTAAACAATTTATCATTTTTGTTTATAGTATTACTAACTACTATGAATTTTTACTTTTTAATGAATCCAACAATTGTTTCACTCCGATATTAATTTTTCATATTTGATAAAATTTAAGTAAGATTTCCAAGTTATTCCAAAAATTTGAACGACAAAATATTTATTTTTATATAAAAAATAACTTATTTTGAAATAACCAAAAACACTTAGAAAAGAATTCAAAATAACTGTTTTAATTTATGACTATCACAATATGTAGTGTAAAAAATAAATAGAAGTACGAAAATTTTTCCAACCCTGTACAGTTGGCAATATTTACTCCTTTTTCATTCATTAATATTTTGCAATTAGATCCGTTTAATTGCAAATGTGAAATTTGGGTGAAAAGAAAATGAATTTCAGGGAATTGAATTGATGGAAAATTATTTTTCTGGGAATTGTAAATTATTGTGTTTGATTATTATAATTTTCCACATGAAAAATGTTTAAATTAACGTGTTTTTTTATGTTCGTTTGGCTTTATTTTACATGAAAATTGTCAATTAAAGGGATAGAATTTATTGGTATTGGGGATGCAATTTGTTTCCATTGTCAAAACAAAAATAAAAAACAAAAATTTCAAGAAAATCATCTATCTTTTTATGTTCGTTTGGCTTTGTTTTATATGAAAATTATCAATTAAAAAAAATATTTTTTTACAATAATTCTTAAAATTTGTCTTCATTGCCAACAAAAAAAATTGAAAAAAAAAAACGCTTCATTTGGTGGAATTGAGCTGATGTGGCACAAAACATGAAAATGCAAATTTAGGCCATTAAAATACTATCAAACACCATTAAATTGAAAGGTGGAATTCCAATTCCATTTTCCATGAAATTCCACCTCCAATCAAACACTACCTTAAATTTTATTCAGTGCTGACTGATCAGATGCCAAGTCTCCAACTAAAAAATTGTCTCGTGACGTCACTTATTGGTCTTCGGGTCTACGAGGACTGACTCTTTGAATATAAACAATTTTTTATCGATATAAAAGGCCACTTGATGGAGAAAATGAAACCCCGCCCCCACCACTATTATGTACAAATTTGTGTAAAAATAAAATTTATTATGATTTAATTTACCCAGTCAAACATTTTTAAATAAACAATATATTTTAGTTACATGTTTATAGAATCCTAAATTTAAAATATGCTTCCACATATGTAAACAAATTATGATTAATGAGGCGGAATAAGTTTGAAAAGAAATTCTATCAATAAAGCTATTTGTACATCCAAAATTGACAGTCCGGATGACACTCTCCTCACAAGAGAGGGGGGTCCACACGTAATAAAATAATTGTGGGCTCCCTTTTTGTGAGGGGAGTGTCACGCCCCAAATGTACAAATAGCAAAGTCCAAATTCTATTAGCTTAGACATAATTAGAGATGCGAAGGTTAAATTAGACAATCATAAATTCAAAATACCATTATTGCATGAGACAAATAACAACTCGTAAAATTATATAACTCATTACTATCGTTTGCAATAGACAAATAACAACTTATTAGGTTACATTTTGAATTCATAAACCCATTTGCTTGTTTTATATGGGTTGTCCAAGTCATCTTCTCCATGGCTTGTCTTGTGTCTCGTTATAACGTTGTACCAACTCTTAGGGATGTTAATGTTAAATACTTTAAGACTCAGCTGAATTTCGATTTCATTTTACATCCTAAAAAACAACTACAGACTTCTATAAAAATTATAATTGTGGGCCTACGTTTTGGACATTAAATATTGAATAAAAATGACATTACACATCAAGTAACGAGGGATGCAGGGAGGATAGAATCAGGATCATTTTTGAAGAGTAAAATAATAATAATAATAAATTAAAAATTAAAAATATTTTGGTGAAAAGATGTTTGAGAATCAATAAAATTCAAATTTATCATGTTAAAGAAGGGAAAAAATGTCAATAATATTATATGTCATTTTATTTAATTTTATCTAATACTACCTTTTGAGTACACCAAGAAATGCAGAAACTAAAGAATGTTTATATTTCGAACTCATTGTCGAATGCTTCCAATTATTTGAAGATTTTGTTGGTTAGATGCTATGTCTTGCTAAGTTGAATTTTGCATGTTTGAAACTTTGAGTTGAGTACTTAATTTGCGTGAAATAAACGTTGCAAAAAGACGACATTAGCAACATTTACTTAAAAAATGTTACCAAAGCTCAATTATATTAAGCAATGGCAACATTCATGTATTTGAATGTTGCGATTGACCCCTTTAGCAACGTTTAATTAACGAATGTTGTTTTTTACATGTTGCAAAAAGTCATTTTTGTTGTAGTGCGCCTTCCCTCTTTGGCATACTGCCTTAGCGCCACTGCAATCAAACCCTCCATCGTGGCCTCCGGTGGCATCACCACCTGAATAGCGCCAACACTTCTATGCATTATCACGTTTAGCAGCAATTTCGTAAGCTTAGGCCTTTCTTTCACCACCACTACATCCGACAACCATGCTCTTACTCTCTTCCCTGCCACCAAGTCCGGTACCTTTCTTGGCCGCGGCAGCATCCCTTCCACCACCGCGCCGCCACTTCTTCCTTGAAATGACGATGCCTTTTCTAATAACAATCCCTTCCTGCAGTTCGTCTTGTGGCCTTCTTTACTGTAATTCTTTGAAGTTGCCAATGAGTAATATGTATTCATTGTAGTAATTTCAAAGTTATAATAGAGGTAAATCACAAACCTTCGTTTTTAGATTTTTAGATTAAGTGTTGGGCTAAATGTACTCACTTTCAGATGGAAATGTTTCTGCATATATGTATAACATCGAACAGGAGATAGAGTTTGGTGGGATGTTCTATGATTTATTTTTTGGAGAATATTTATTTTTGTAGAATTGAACTAGAACGTAGAACCAGAATCGTACAATTCGATTTCGATTTTGCTATAGTGATTGAATGAAACCGAATGATTCTATTTACAAAAGAATCAAAATTTATGGTTCAATTTCAATTCTTGAAATGCCAAATCAAACCACCCATAATTGTGAATAGGGTTGGAACATTATAAAAACCTATATGATTAAACATTATTGGAATCTATATGATTACTCGAGTTGACTGGTTAGTGGGCAAACAATTATTTTAGTAGAAAGAGAAAAAGGAAAGAGATCATCAATTCGTTTGCTCGGATGTGTTATATTTCTTATCGATCGGCCACGTTTCTCAAATGTTGAATTGTTCCCAGATAGTTTGTATATATGAATTGTGAGAACTAACTGTTCTAGTAGAAAGATATGGCACACAAACTTATTGGGGCTATACCAATTTAATCCATTTTGAAAAAAGCTAGAGCAATTCAAAACAAATTACAACAAGCAAATTAATTGGCAGCTACACTGTTCAAATGAAATAAAGTGTAGTTATCCAATTAAAATTATATTGAGGTGTAGTTATTATTTGGGTAATATTTGTATTCAATGACCTTTCACAAGCGTAAAAAGTATTATTGAAAATAATGCACAAACAAATTTAAAAGTACAAGCTATAAAAATATTTGTAAATACTTAAATCACTTTTTATGCATATATTTTGAGGAATTCGTAAGTACTATCTATTTATTCTCTACTCATTTCGATCATTTTATAATTTAGACAATTTATAAACACTTTCAAAACATGCTCGACTACCTTGATTTGTTAAAAATACTAACGAACAATGCAATTTTACAAAAAAAAAGGAAAAAGAAAGAAATAACCACCAAAAAATATGAACTATCACTTGTAAATTATAAATATTTATTTGAAGTCACGATTTTGTGAGTGAATTAATCCTAAGAATATATCCTCATTTTGGATTCGCAAGACGAGCATTTTCATCTAGAACAAAATCAACAACTTGTCCATATATCAATTTAAAGTAGAGGTGGAAATTCAGATAGTGCGCGGAATGCCAAATAATTAGAAATAGACCATGAACCAATACATTACAATGCTAAAATATGTACCCATTCTAAACATTTTATTAATATAGCGAAAAGGACACCTCCTTAATCCCACAAATTACATCAAAAAGTTTAAACCCAATTTTACAAAATTACTAGCTAGTACAAGTAGAGCCAATAACTTGTTCACAGAAACTCCATGAACTTGACTACTTGAGCCTAGACAACCCATTCTTGGTAGAGTTAGCAGCTTCTTTTGAACAGCTCGAAGTCAAAGCCGTCGTCAAATTACCGCCGTCTCTGGTGGCCTCCACTGCCTTCTTTGGGCACAGAAAAAGTTCCTTGACCCCAACGCCATTAACTTCTCCTCCCTGTTTAAACCTGCAGGTCCCACCATGAAAACATTATTTATTAAAACCACAAAACTGCATGTAACCCTCTCCACATGATGATTAGCCCCTATTTGGTGTCCTTTATTTCAATAATAAAAAAAAAAAATGTTTTGAATAGTATTTTTTTGAGAATGTGTGGTTAAAAGGTAACGAAAAACATGTAGAATATTTTATTGTGTGAACGTTGTTGAAAATGAGTATGAAAAACAAAGTAAAGTAAGGTAAGGTAAAAAGAATCAAACATCAGCTTAGACATTTTACATAATTTGGGTACCATAGAAAGAATTTTTACGAATTCATGCTAAACTAATACAACCACAGCAATAAATAATAAAATAATAAATTGGTGCGTTCTCTGTCCTAATTATTACATATTTTTGTTAGTTATGTTAAAGATTAAAATTTAGTTTGTTTTTCCATCATATAACCAGGAAAGTTTAAAATAACATGTTACACTTCATGCTTAACACTAAAGGATGGAAAAATTACAGATTTGGCATTAATTGCAAAAGGGGAAATGCCATTTGTACAATATTTTCTTACAACATTGTTGACCATGTTGGTAGGTGGCAAAAAGGTGTTGGATGGAAAGAGATATTGTTTTTTAAATCATTCAATAACAACGTGACACGTGACATGTTGTCAAAAATATTGTACATCAAGCATGATTGAAAATGGGAAATTGACATTAATTTCAGCAAGCGTGTTTGGAAACCTTTAAAAATAGAAGTTTTATATTCACTGTTTGGATTATTTTCTTCTTGCTTTCAAGAAAACATGTTATCTTTTTAATTATAAGAAAGTAACTAGCGGAGTCATGGAAATTACAAGAAAGCTTACTTTCAAGACTAAACTGAGAGTAATGGAGGTCGAAGCCATTAGGGTCTGTAGACGGGAGAATCAGCCGCCTTCCCTCCTTGGCATGCTGTCTCAGCACTGCCGCAATCAAATCCTCCACCGTGGCATCCGGCGGCGTCATCCCCTGTACAGCGCCAAGGCTTCTCTTTATAGCCACATTCAGCAGCAATTTCGTGAGTTCACGCCTTTCTTGCATCGCCACTACATCCGGAGCCCCTGCACCAACTCTCTTTCTAGCCACCAAGTCCAGCAACGTTCTTGGCCGCGGCAGCATCCCTTCCTCGACCACCCTTCCAGTTCTTCCGTGAAACGACGATGCTTTTTCTGATGATAATCCCTTCCTGCAGTTCTTCTCGTGGCCTCCTTGACGGGAATTCTTGGGATTCGGCATGAAGAATTATATATTTGTAAATCGTAATTATAGAGAAAATTGAAGGAATGAGAGTATTTATATTTTGGGTGGGGGCGTGGAACATTATTGGAATCTATATGATTACTTGACTCCACTGTTTGTTGCATTGAAAATTATTTTAGTAGAAAGAGTAAAAGGAAATAGAGTATTAACTTTCGATCGCTCGGATGTTTATAGACTAATGTTTCGTACGGGTCAAGTCTCTGAATTGCTGAATTGTTCCAAACAGGGTGTACACATAGTGCAAGTATATAAGTTATGTGAATACTTGGTTGACTGTTTAGTGCACTAGAAGTTGTTCTAGTAGAAAAAGTAAAATCAATCATTTTTTATTAATTATCGGAAATTACAATTATTTATCTCACACTTGGATTGGTAATTCCAAAAATTGGAAGAAAATTTTCCCATGCAGTAAATTAAAAGTTACTAAAAAATAAATGTTTTTCATTCAATCAAACTCATATTAATTTTAGCCATGCAGTCATGATTACTAATCACTTATTAAACAAACATTTCGTGGACATAATAATTTCATCCTAAAAATATAGTATAATTTTAGTCCTTTCTCCGCGTGACATTAATTTTTTTTTTTTCAAGATTTAATATTATTATATATTTTTTGTTATGCCTGCTCCTCACTTGGAGACTATATGACGTGCAAATGCCAATTAGGTTTGCTAAGGCGACCACCTGAGTGCCAACCCCCAACGATGTCCAAGTGCGCAACCAAATTCGAAGGTTCACCTCACGACGACCCAGTGGCTGGAATTGGTCGGTAGTAATGCCACACCTGCATTGGCGCTTCCAATTCATGGCTAAAGGAACAAAGGACAGTTACAATGCCTTTAAGAGACTCAAGCATATTTTCCCTATCAAGCAGAACGGTGCCGCAGCGTTCCATTGGATGTTCTTAAAAGAGGTAAAAATCTTATCATTGTACTTCGTGTAGACATTTATCTAATTAGGAAAGTCTGATGAGGGGGACAGACAACATTCATAAGACAATTAAGCAAGGGTGTTAAGGGATATTATCCTATATCGAATAAAGATGATAATATAGACCAACTTATAAGGTTTTGACTACTTCTCTTAATAAGATTGATCTTTTAAGATGGAACACCAAGTCTTAACATTGTATCAGAGCTCATTAAACTCTAACGATCGATTCGATTTGATTAAAACTAAAAAAATGAGCACACAAATTTCAAAATTGGTTTGCTGAAACGAGCCACCATCTTGTGGGGGCATGTTACTGGATATTATCTCATATTGAATAAAGATGATAACATAGACTAACTTATAAAGTCTTGGGATACTTCTCTCAATAAAATTGACATTTTAAGATAGAACCCCAAATCTTAACAAAGTGAACCACTTTCAAATACAAAGTCAAATATACGAAAGGCATAGAATCAAATATATGATTGTAATAGGGTCGAGAAGAGACCAAATCAGTTATTACAATGAACAAAATTCAAAAATATAACCCAGACTTTCACAAACCATAGATATGTAGTATTTGGAAACTTAATAAATATTTTCTTTATTGTTGGATTTGGGCCTCATGCCTTACTATTCATTTGGTCCTGATTCTGTGTTGGGTCGTTCTTTACATGGATTGATTACTTATGGTTTTTCGGTTCTGGGCCCGTTATGTAAAATTGTGTTTTGTAAACATGACTTTGGCTGTTGCAATGCTTTAATCTGGATCCTTCATCTGATACAATTGTCACCGTTTGATCCATGCTTTTTGACCTAAGTATAAATAGGCCCCTTTATCTTTCTTGTCCTCCACTTTGAGTAATTTCTAAGTGTTGTTCTCATGGTTTTCTTGTCTAATTCTCTCTATAATCTTTGAGGCGTTGTCTCTATAAATGTTAGGGTTGTGAGCTGAATTCTAGATCTGAAAATGTTTGCCTTCTAAAGAAATCACTTTATGATCCAAAACAAGCACTCAGACAATGAAATAAGAAATTCAACTCATATGTTCAAAACTTGGATTTCTTAAGAGCGGTTTTAATTTCTAGTTCTATTTCAGAGGGTGGTCAGGTGGAACTGATTCTATTTATTTACTATTATATGTAGATGATATGCTTCTAGCTTGTCGTGATAAATCTGAAATTGGCAATGTTAAATCAAAATTGAAACTGAATTTGATGTGAAAGATCTAGGACAAGCTAAAAGCATGTTAGGAATGAAAATCAAAAGAGTAGAAGTAATTATGTGTTTTATGTGAATCGATCATCTTATGTGAAAAGGGTACTAGAAAAGTTTTTCTACGACTGAATGTAAACCTATAATTTTATCTATTGCAAATCATTTTAAACTATCAAGTGAACAATCTCCTAAAACTAATGAGGAATTTGATAGGATGAATAAAATACATTATGCAAATACTGTTGGTTCTATTATGTATCTTATGATATGCACTAGACCTGATTTAGTTCATGGTAGTATCTTAGGTAGATTTATAGCTAATCTAGGTAAAACTCAATGGTTAGCAATCAAATGGATGTTAAGATACTTAAAAGACTCACTTGACTTAGATGTACAATTTCAAAGGTGTAATTTTGAAGGGTTATACTTATTTTGATTTTGCGAGTGATTTGGATAAAAGAAGATACACTTCTTCTTATTTATTTATTTTGCTCTTTGTAATGTTTGTATTAGTTGGAAGTCCCAACTACAAAAACTTGTGGCTCTATCTTCTATCGAAGATGAGTATGTTGATGTGTGAAAGAAGGAATTTGGTTGAGGAGTTTGTTAGTTGAAATTGATTTTGTAAATGAAGTAGTTATAATTTTTACATATAATCCAAGTGTGATATATTTAAGTAGAAATCTTGTATATTATGATGGGACTAAACACGTAGGTATTAAGTTTTAATTTTTAATGAACATGGTTGAAAAAGGGATGATTAATCTTGTAAAAATTCCAATTGAACCCTTCTGATATGGTACTAAAGTTTTGCCCTTAAACAAGTTCAGGAATTGCTCGAAAATTCTGAACATTACATGAAAGAAATCTATTTAGTAAGTTTGTTTTTACTAATTTTTGTTTTGAATTTACACTAAATTCACTTAGTTTGTTTTTATAGGTTGTTAGAATAAGTGAAACTTGTTAATTGCATTTTGATTCCACTTGGATGATCCATGAATAGTTCAGTTAAGTGGAGATTGTTGAATTTGGGCTTGATGCCTCACTATTCATTTAGACATGATTGTATGTTGGATCGTTCTTTACTTAGGCTAATTGCTAATTGTTTTTGAGTCCTAGCCACTTATGTAAAATTGTTTTTCATAAACACGACTTTGGGTGTTAGAATGCTTTGATCTATATCCTATATTTGATGCAATTGTGATCGTTTGATCTGTGGTTTTTGACCTAAGTATAAATAGGCCTCTGACCTAAGTATAAATAGGCCTCTTTCTCTCTCTTGTTCGTTACTTTGTGTAATTTCTGAGTGCTATTCTTAGGTTTTTCTCGCCTGATCCTCTCTCTGTAATCATTGAGGTGTTTTCTCTGTAAATCGTTAGGATTTTGATTATGATTGTTTCAAGTAGACAATCTGGGAGAGAAATTGTATGGATTACTAGAGCTTTGTGTTGAAAAGAGAGACGAGCGGAAACTTGAAGAAATCTCTAATTTTTTCGGACATTTACACTATTTTTTGGTGCCTTGATAGTGAAACCGAGCGTAATCTACTTGTAGATACTCAATGGGTAATTAGGCCAAATGCTGAACATCAAGGTCCTTAGTGATGAAACAATTCTTTTATCTTTTTTGATTTTCTGCAAAATTTATATTTTCTACAAATCGTTGTTAATCCTAAATTAACGGGTTTCTGAGACCAACATTTATTTATTTTCGTCACATCTATTTTATGATGTCTGACTTGAGTATTGAAGTGCTAATGATTGTTGAATATCTTCTAGTATGACGATCGTAGAGCATCTCTAACGAAATGTAAATTGTATAAAAAAGTGTGTTACCTCATCCCAAAATGCTTGTACAGGAAAAAAAAAGTGTGATGTCTCGCACACTGTTCATATGTGAAAGGTGTGCTAGGCATCCTCTGCTTTATTGCTTATAATTTATCTTCATTGCATGATCTATCCATTTAATTTTTTATATTTATCTTCACACTTTTTCTACATCCTGTCTTTTGTACATGTGGTCCACAATTAGTGAAATCCACATCACTATTGGAGATGTTATTCTCTCTATTCCCCTTTTTACTTGTCACATGGACAACAATTCATAATATTGTTGCATTTGAGACTCTAGTGTCCTAATGTGTGTGTTGACCTCAAAAACATTTTTTTTTAAATGCCAGCAGTGAAGTTTTTATTTTTGGAATTTTGGATGGATTTTGCCTCCTGAAGGCTTTGAGTGTGTTTTAAGTGAGCTTTTTGTTTGAAGAAAGAAAAAGAAGTCTTCGGTGAATTTTAGATTGGAAATGATACTTTAATTGGAGAATGCTGAGATTTTCAAGAGCGACAATTGTAATTTTACATTGATTCGAGGTGAATTTTCTAGAGTAGAAGATTGGATCTCTAAGATTTTTCTTTCTTTAGCATCTTAACCCTTTTATTTTCTACCCTTTTAGGGGATTTTTTTATCATTTTTGTGAGAGAAATACTCATCATTATTATGCAAGTCATGATTAAGTCCAAGTTTCAATGCCTTGATTGAGTTTTGTGTTTTCGTGATACTTGCCATACAACTTGCTATATACACCCATGTGTTTACAATTTCATGTATGATCACACTAATTCAATTGTGTTAGAACCCTACTAAAAATGACATCAATGTTTGAGATCGAGCCGAGGCATTTGTTCCCACCGATTTGGACGAGGATTCCAATTGTTCATTATCCAAGTGTTATTGCTAGATATATGGTACTTAGGTGGCTGAGACATTTTATGCCGAGGGGGCCTCGACAGCCCTAATTCAAATGTTAGTGGACACGATGTCATGTAATGGGGTCCTTTTAGGACTAACATATAGTCCTTAGATGCAAGCAATTGAGCCCTTTGTAATTGACATGGAATCTAGATGAACAATAATTATTTTAGCATGTAACAATGCAAGCAACACATAAGCGAACGAAGAAGTGATAT